AATATCTTTTATTTTAAATAATTTCATGTTTCATATTTTATAACGATTCTTTATTGTATCAATTTCATTGCTTTCTAATACGATTCAATTTATGCGAACCCTATGATTAAAAGCTAAAATCAGCGGGATAGTACAAAAAAAAAGTGAAAAACGAATTTCCCATATAATATCCTATTTTGTTGTATGTAAAGAAGCACACACTGTGAATTTGAATCTAAAATGCAAAAAAAGAAAATTATTGTATTTGAAGTTATTGTTTTGATTGTAATTTCTACCGTAGTCCTTGAAAGGAAGTTGTTTCGGATGAAGACACAATGACAAGTTTTTTTGGAAAATCGTTCTCCAGCGGGATTTTATGACACGTTCGCAAGATTTCTTGCCTTCTGAATTAAGCTTTTTGAAGTTTTGTAAACATTTTGAATTATCCTTCAGCAATATTCTTATGATTATATTTCGAAAATATTTTAATTTCAAGCATCATCCCGACCAAAAGAATGAAAATTTTGATGTTAGTAAGAGTTAACCTGTAATTGAGGTATTTATTTTAAGACAATTTTCGATTCCGTTTTTATTCCGTAAAAAGGGATTGGCTTTTAAAATGAATTACTTTTAGGTTGATGATCAGATAGCATTGATTTATACTTCCTGGGCACCAATTCATGTTCTTGATTTCACCTTTCATATCCTTCACAGTCATTTGCCGATTTCCATACAATTTGGCAATAGTCCGTTAGTTTTTCCTTAATATTGCAATCATTAATATACATCAGGTATTCATATTCTTGAAGATTTACTAAATTTAATCATCTTATCTGAAAAGGCTCTGAGAAGTTTGATAAAGTTTTGTGAATTAAATTATAAGTTCATCTTCGAAATTAGAAAAAATAATGAGATAGAAACTGGACAGTGTCGTAGCAAATTTTTATAGATTGCCGGTGTCAACCATCTGCTTAATGGGTTTTGATACATTGGCACCAAAGTTCAATGAATTATGCAGTAAATTACAATCGTTGAACTTCGATCGCTGTGATTACGCGGCATTCAAAGTGCTAACACTTTTCGAAGATCGAGGTTTATTTTCAACATCTTATCTAACGGTGAAACAATTTAACTCATTTTCTATTGAAAATCATACAAGTGTATCACTATGTGTCACTATCTACTATTGGGAACATTTACGAGATATACAGTAGATGACGTAGCTAGTACAGAGTATCTTTTCTTATACTGCTTAATGGTACCTGAATTTTAGGCACCCTGACTTCCAGAGGATGAGTTATCGTAACTGAGGTCAAGGAAACTGACAGTAGCTATGTATCGCGACCTAAGCCCTTCATTCCATGTAATGAATAATTCAGTTCGCTAACTATCAGATCACCCGAGATTGCTCATACAAATGAATAATAATAATGGTCGTCTTTCTGTTTTGGCCATCGGCATGCAGCAAGTTTTACAGCTTTTCCCATCTGCATGTGTGCTGTGTTTGGATAGTATACATAAGCGCCCCATTATAGTTGTGGATTGAATACAGAGATATGCAAATTGCAGGTGAACGAAATGCAGTAAACAACTGCGCTTTGACAACTCAAGTTCATGCATCGATACTCACAGCATGGGCAACATATCGTTCTATTCCCAATGCTACCGATCATCCATTATATGTTGTTTACGAGGAACTGAAGTGAGTGTAGATTGTTTCGCTGATGATATTTAAAAGAAATAAAAAATAGGATTAGAAAAGAGTTGAAGGGGTCATCTTCTCTTCAATTATTAATGATTATTAAAATGCTTTCGGAATGAAATCCAGTGTGAAATATGATTTTTTTTTCATTCTTTTTAGATGAGATAATTTTGCAAATCTCTAAACTTTTCTGAGACTGCTTGCTGATTCAAGCAATCGAAAAAGAGTTGATATTGCGTTTTTTTTTATCCCACCACCATTTGCTTTCAAAGGTTGTGGAGGAGGATTATTTCTATGCACTTGAAAATAAGGTAGTCATTACGGTACCTGAAGAAAGCAGTATATAATGGTGAAAGTACTTCAGTTTCTGTGATATTCGAGCAACTACTCTACTTGAACGTGTTGAACTGTATCGTCCTTTGACCTTTCTAATTAGTAGCGCGGTACCGATTATTTTTGACACATGCCAAAACCGGCAATTATCCTCTTCTCACTTTGTGAGTCCTAGGATATTGTGGAAGTGATTGAAAAGAAGAACTCGAGAATTCTACCATCGTTTTGCTTTTTTCACATGTCACTACAGGGGATAAGAAGAATGCTCATCTACACATATCATTCCTATGACATGTTCTTGTAGTAGATCGTACCTATAATGTACTAGATCTTATGTGAAATATGTGAGATCCTTAAAAAATCAGTTCTTGTTAAAAAGTTTTCGGTGCTAAATGTCTTCTGAAATTCACTAAAAATAATTATGATGACAATGCCCCCCACTGCTAAATGACTTAATAAAGTATCCAACTTGATTGAACTTTTTTGAGCTGGAATGACATTTTAAAATCATAATTTGTGTTAAACAAATTTATTTCCAATTTAGACTTTTCAAAAGTTTCAGGCTCCTTGCACGACAGGCGGCTCATTTGCTTAGCAAATATTCGACACTGGGGATGGAAGAAAATTTGTTGAAAGAAATGCTAACACGCAAAGAACATCATTTAGTATCTCAGCAACCGCCATCGTCAATACCACCACCACCGCAACAATATGCATAATTAAAAACTGAATCAAATGTGCGCACTTGTCCCATCTTATCCTTCCACAGTCGTTTCCTCCAAATTTTCATTTTTTTTAATATCGAAATATCGTGCAGAGCTTGTAAAAAAATGTCATTCTCATATTTCAGGAAATGAAAAATCGTGTAATCAAAAATTTAAATAGTTTTTAAATCAGTTTCTTTCGTTGCTTCGTCCCTCTGTCCCGCCATCTACTCAGCCCTTGCAAAACTGCACAAACCTATTCAAAAGTATTTATTGCCTCTTCATATTCCTGACAAAGTGCGTACAACTGATCTCGCCAGGAAACTCGGGTGCGGCAATTCCGCAGTAAATCAGCAGGGAGCCGCTGTGGATACGGTCAACGGAAATCCACATAATGTAGAAGAAGCAGCAATTTAACCCAACTCATTCCAGCTTATCTTATTTCACTTACTTTTATTCCAGTTGAAGTTTTCGTTTATCAGCTGTATTCCATTCAATTCTACTTCAAATCAGTTCAAGTACGGGCCGTTGAAGGCTTTGTCCAATAAATTTATTCAGGCCACTAGCATTTCGTTTCAGCATTTTTGTTAAAATTATTTCCGTATTTGAATATCTCATTCAGTATTATTTCAGTTTGTGGGGTTTCATTGTTTCGTATTTTTGCTTTTATAATGTCAGTATTGTTTGTTATCAGTGCTCTCATCCCCACAAATTTTGTTTCTTATCCTAAAGATGAGAATGAAAACACTTCCTCACAATTCTAAAAAAGCCTTGACATTTGTTTTAATTAATGGAAAACATCAAAATATACGAAAAATTGACCACAATTTGTCCATAATTATCAACAAAAATAGTGACATGTGCAATGAAGCACTTAGGCACCTTATCGATTTTTTCATACTTAACCGTCTTTTGAATAGCATAGTCTTTATCGAAATTTCATAATTTGTAATATACCTTGTCCTTCCTGATTCCTAATCGCCTCAATCATGTACTACCAATACCGTCCTTGCATACTGCATACATTCCAGTAACCGCCCTTCTTTTACTGTTATCATTATTGTTGTTTATTTTCATAATAAGTACTGTCTTCTGCAAGCCCCTTCCACTTTTTTCAACTTTAGTAATCATTTGAGGAAGACAAAAGTTAGATCCTTCGTCGGTTCAAACTTAGCAAGAATCGTATTTTTGAATTATTATCTATAAATATATGTAATTTTAGCATTTAAACTACTGTTACTATTATCTAATTACTTTCATTACTGGTATTTCGCTGCTGTTGTTATTTCTAGCTATGCCTTTTTGCTTTCTCGCCTTTTTAGTACTATTGAGAAAAAAGAATCACTGATGTTTTTACGACACATGAAATGAAGTTTTACAACGTTTCGCATTTGTTGACATTCGATTTGTTTTGTCGACACAGAAATCAATCGATATATCATCTATAAATTGTAGACATTTGAATGCATTAATGAAAGTGAAAAGTTCAACTAGAATACAAAACAAGTTAAAATTTAAACTGGAAAAAAGCTACTGATTTAAAATATGTTTTCCTAAGATATGAACATTTTATGTACAGATGTTCCACTAATTTATTCAATCTATCTGAAGTTTAAACTTCAGATCTAATGTTGCTTAAATTGTCACAGAGGTTTTTGTTTATTTTACTTCAGTTCCTTTGAAACCAACAACATATGGGAGATATCACTACTCAGATCAGTGACTAATATGTATTCGAGGCTTTTATCTACTCTCCAGCTTCCTTCCAAAAAATCTTGAATAATTTTTCATTAACCAGAGAAAAGTAGAGAATTTTCTGGAACTAGACCATATTATCTAAACATTTCCTTCAGTTCTAAGAAATTATTAAGTGTATTTGTTCTCCAAGTAGCATTATCATATCATCTGGAAATGGACTATTAAGAAAAATTAGCGTAATGAAATGCTTGCTATAAGTAGACAAAATTTAATCAAATAATAATTATCCGTTACAAATCAATGCATATTAGTTCAACAAATAGGTATGCACACTTCTTTATTAAAACTGTAGCGCAAATTAGTAAATGTACGTCTCAAAAAATTCATTCTTATTTGACTAGCAAAAAAAAAATTGCAACTATGTTTTATTTGTTCAACAAGTAAGTTTTTTTTTATAAAAATATTGATTATACGCTGCAGTTTCCAACAAAATTTGAAATTGTTTGCTAAGTGAATCTCGCTCAAAATTCATTTTCGTTTTGGATTAATTACCTCCAAAGCATCGTTAGTAAAAGCAGTGGACATCAATCGCATAATCCTCCACTTATCTCTGGTCCCAAAGTTCCGGTCTGTATTATCCGGAATTATAGCAAATTACGGGATGCTAGCTGAAATTGATCATTCAGTAAGGTGTATAAACATAGATTCCATATCGCTGAGCTATGAAAGTAAAATAGAATTTAAGTTGAAGATTATGTCTTCATATATGATCGGCTAAGAAGGAAATTAGTGGAGAATGGAAAACACTTCACTGAGATGTTATGATACAAATTAAATACTCCCGTTGAAATCTATCTAGTAACCAATGATAATCTCTGAGGAAACAACAAGCGAACACGGCAACCATTAGAATTAACAGCATACGATTCGTATTCAGATATCACTTTAATGCTCATTATCAACGAAACGAGCATTTCTTCATTTATTCCTTGAATGAGAATGTCTGAAATCCGAAACAGTCATTAAAAAATCGATACAACTAAGATAGGAGGGGTTCCAAGTTGCATAAAGGTCAAATATAAGAGCTTTGGCTCAAAGGTTGGAGATTCCTCACTTTTGAAATCTTCATCAGCTTTCTTTCTATTTCTTATAATATATTCAAATGGTTACTAATAAAATCTTAAATTGATAACTTCTGAAATATAACGAAATTTATTTTCATTCATTTATCTAATGAATTTTTTACTCAGTCTACCAATCCTAGAAGTCGTCAATTATGGAAGGATTAAAAATCAACAGTTGACCAGAAACAGTTACATTATATTAATTGAAATGAATATTAAACCAACTTTGATAAGTTTTAATGAAACCATTGTATAGTAAAAGGAAATTACAGTAAATGATGCAACAAACTGAAAGGTGAATACAACTGTACCTGAAACTTTCCAAATTCTTTTTTGAAAATTGAAAGTTTACAATGAATAGACGATAACATTACTAGCATCTTGGGCTTTTGAATCTATTGTAAATAAATTTTATAAGCTGCTAATACATTTCTATTCTTCGTATAGTGAACACGCTACTATTATTCCATTCTATTTATAGAAAAGTATGTAGTTAAGTAAAAAAAAAAAAAACTTAGATTTGAGAGTAAACCAAATAACTTTGTACATTTAGTTATGCGATACCACTAATGAGTACAAGCACTGTTAACTTGAATACAACTTTGATCTTTAAACCTAGGAGCCATCAGGACTATATTTCACTGTTTAATTAATTGTTCCCTGTAATTTAAACTACAAAATGTTGTGAAAAGTTTTCAAGTTTTTCTTACCCTTGAATTCACACAATTGGCCAAAAGTGCAATAACAAACCATAAGTGCTATATCTAACGTCATCAAAACCTCAGTATTCAGTGCAAAATTGGCCGTAAAATTCTCATATTCGATAAATCTCAGCTTGATAAACATGGATAATGGTATTGTTATTGCTAACACAAAAGCTAGGCCCATTATTTTTACTGCTTGAGGTTTTTGAATTGGCCTGTAAAAATGTCAAAATACTTGTAATTGCATGAAACAGTACAATTTTCAATGGAATAGCAGAAAAGATGAAAAATAGGCAAATATTCCATAATTTTATGAGGCACTTAAAATATCATACATACGTCATCTTTGCACATTGTTAATTTTAAAAATTTCCTTTTTGTTTTTCTCTTCTCTTTTGAATCCCGAAAAAATTTTTGCTTCAAATTTCATCCTTTCCGTATAACAGCTACCATTCCATTCTCCTCTCTTTCTCTAACACATCTCCAGTCTCTTTTCATTTGGAAAAATAACCGTTTATTTGAATTTAGGGAGTGGTCACGCTCTTTACAATCTCTACAGACATTTTGATTCGAAAAGTTTTAGGTGCGAATGGTGCGAAAGCGGCCGATTCAGATAATATGAATTACGAAACAGATCAGGTTGGATATAAGTGTTGAAATTTAACGATTAGGAATTTCCAGGTATGGATATAATACATCTAGTACAAGTTTGTTTTCATGATGCTGGCAGATTATATTCATTTAATCCCGGAGAAAAACAACAGTTTGCTTGCTAACGAAAGAGGAATTACGACAGTTGTAATTATTACGAGCTTATTGACTGCAATAATTTAATTGTTCCGAATCTTTGCTCGTCTCTCTGCTTTTGTAATTCTTAAGTCCATCATATATTTGACCTCAAAGAAAATTTGGTCCATTTGACCCCGAAAAACATTTTTGTGCTAAATATGAGAACAAGAATCTTAAATGCACTCCATTTTTGATAGCAATCGATCATAATTTAATTTAAGATAATAATTTAGACAGATTTTAGCAGTCGATAATTTGAGGTAGGCAAGCTCGCTTAAATTTCTATGTTCAATGACTGGCGAGAAAAGATTGAAGTGGAAATGCGTAAAATTCGTTTTCACTATTTTCGAATATTGCAATTAAATGAGTTCTAAGTGGTTGTAGTGAGAAGCAATTCCAATTTCAGATAAATAAAAATACCAAAAATGTCTTTGGAAAAGAGGTCAGAGATGTTAATTAAAAAACAGATTAAAGTTCAAAATTTTTATGGAACAAGTTTCCTAGTCATAAAAGGGTTCGTTTCGAAGCTATTAAAGAAGTTTCTCAAGTTCCCATGACAGAAATGGAAAACAAATCCCATGTTGAATTCAAAATAAATTATCGAAGGAAGTGTATGAATTGATTTCGTATTGTTTAATTGAATTCAATTAAGCAAGAGAATTCTGTAAGCAGATCACCTGTACGATTCTATTTCAATCTCTAAAAAATTCAAAATACAGACGGATAAATGCGTACTTAGTAAAACATTTCAAAATGTATTGTAAAGGGCAGGAAAACTGCTCAAATTTATTTTTATTTCCATAAAAAAGATATTAAAATGTAATGATTAATTGTTATAGTTGAGAGTTGATTATGAAAAGTATAAGCTTACACCCTGAAAATAAGAAAAGATGTTAAAGCTAAAGCAAGCAATTAACAAACTCGCATCTCAATCACTGCTTACTATTTAATAACTAAACAACTTGAAATCTCATCCCAGCAAAGTTTTAAATTTCATGATAGAAACCGACAAGTGCATAAATAAACAGGTTCAGAAAACTGAAACTAACTTGTATAAAGGACATAAAGTAGCAGAGCAGTTGACCGAAAACCCACACTTTACTAAAGGCTGTAATTGGTGTTATTGTTCTGGAAACAATCAAAATAATAATGAAGTATTACTTTAACAGTTGTTTAGTTGGTCGACTCAACTGTCAATTTGAATAAACTTCTATTACGAGTACATTATTCGGGATAATCCACCAAATATGCCCACAATGCTTCGGGAATATCTTACAACTAAGTTGACATTCTTTATAACCATTTCACACTGAATTTACTAATGCACTTTTTTGAACCCGAAGAAGTTACCAACCGATGGCATCACGCTCTCGATTTAATGAGTGAGACAATTTGCATATCCATGAATGATACCTTCGTTTTGCTGCCTTATCTTACTTGTCCTCTTTCTATCTTTAATCACCATCTTTAATTAAGTGCTTTTTTTATGTCGAGAAACTGTAGACAGGATACTAGGCGATATTCAACACATAGTCTTAATCATTAAAGAATGGATGTCACCAAATGATAAAATAAATCGGCGGTATCTAAAATCTATTTCAAGAAAAATCAAATCGCAAACTTTCGGATGTAAAGATAAGCAGTTGAAAGGAGAAATTTTACTGAATGAGCTGCATGAGAGGGATTTTTATGGAATCTACTAATGGTAGTTTCAGTACTTGCAATAAAAGTGTTACTCAAACTCCATGCATTAATATCAAGGATGAATTATTCTTTACTAACAACAATTTTTTTTTTTGCCAAATATGGACTTACTCTCACGTTAGTTCATTCTTTCATACAAAATTTAGAATCGGTTCAGTTGTGCATTTCAAATTAAAATTTCATTTTTAAGCCATGGAATCCTCATAAAAGTTCAACAACTTCCATATTATCACCGAGGATTATATCATTTCTGTTTGTGTTCGCCAAGAATATTCTGCAGAATATTTCATTGTTCAAATATTGAAGTATAAATTGTAAGGAATTTCTCCGAAGGATGATGTCGTTTTTTTTTTTTTTTAAATCGAAAAAAAAAAGCTCTTCTCCGTTCAACAGCCTAAACTACTGAAAATTCCTCATGTACTCAAAATAGCTAGTAATATCTACGTTAGTGCTTCCCATCCGATGGTTCTCGAGAACTAAATATGGTCATAAGGGCAGCGACGCGACAAGTAAAATACAGACACAGGTAGTTCTTATCAATGTTTGATAAATTAATGCGTTAAACATTTTCATTAAAACTTATTTTCAAATTAACAGAGTTTAGTATTTTTGGACCTTGTGATCCCTGCTACAAATAAGAAGCCAAAGTAATCCCTGGTCAAAAAAAAGGTTAGGTACCACTCTAGGACTTAGATAGTATCTGTTGAAACGGAGATCATATCAATATTTAAAGTGTAAATTCATGTAGATTATTTTTCCTGTGCTAATAACTTCCACGAGAAGTGATATTGGACACTTGGAAAACTCGAGTGGGAATAAATAAGACGGCGAAGTTAATTATGCTTGAATGGATTTACAAAACAACGGAAAATACGCTTGTTTGTTGCCTATGAGACAAACTATGTGTTGAAAACTCTAAAAAGCATATTAGGAATTGAATTGAGACAGTCTTTTGCAAAGTATATGACTGATTTAATTGAAAAAACCTTCTTAGATGAGAGGACAGTAGCGCCTTTGGAGCAGTATGACATTGTTTTGTATCTGTTGTAACCGTAATGTATTGAACAAGAAAAATATATCATAAGCATCTAAACGAAGTGTAAATGGCTGGCGCAACAAAAGATATACTTTGGCAAAAGTCAATAATATATTATTTGTTTTATAGCGCTCTTCAATTTGTTATTTACCTGGCAAATGTATCATCTATAAATGAATTCTCATTAACTCTTTACATAATTATTTATTTGTGAAATGAAGCATTTTGCTACAAATAAATACTTTTTTTTTGTCACAAAATCACGTAGAATAACTGAGAGAAATTCAAAAGTATGAAAACCGCAACCATGTATCAGTATGCCAAATTTTTTAAATTTAATGTAAATGTGAATTCATCAGTATCAAACTGATACTGTTTGATTTGAGAAGGCAAAATTGTTTTAAATTTCATTATGCCTGTAAATCTTTTTTGACAAACATAACAATTAGTTTAAGTAGGAAATCCGGAAATCCGGCACGCGGAAAATGGAAACAAAATAACAAGCGTATATTTAGAGATTACAAGTAAGGAATGAGAACAGGATATGGTAGGGTTGTTATGTCCTGCTTGCGATACACGCTTTTTTCAGAAAATTGTCAGCTGTCTTGGTTGCAGTTTCTTTTTTTCCCTTTCTCGCCAAATAGAGAAAAGCTTTATTAGCTGGAAACATTTGACAACAGAATTTATATGTAAAATCAGTAAAAGAATATTTGAAGCTCAAAGTTTTCTAGTATTATATCATCGCTTTAAAAATTGTGTGCTAATTAAATAATCATGAAAAACAGAGAAAAAATGGATGATTGTTTGGAAAAAAAAAAAAAAACAACAACAAACAAAAAAGAGATTCTTTCTTAATTGTGTTAATGGCTTATCTTTGCGTGTTTTATTATATCAGACATTCTCAGGTGAAAACCAATAACGATCAAATCCAACAGTTTCAACAAAACTTCCCAATGATAACTTCTCGTTCTTTCTAATCCTCAAATTTTGTAGTCAATTTCTATGGAAAAAAAATAGCATTTCCACCATTTAAATGAACAAAATAAGATGAAAATTCCAATGATCTTTTAAGAAAAATATGAAGATATGTGCTTTTTAAACTATTTCATTAAAGGATATTTTTTGTTGAAAATGGGCGATAATATTAAAATCATAGACTTCTTTAATTCAAAAAGCATTTTAAAAAAGTGCTTAATTTGCGTTTTAAGATAACGTATATGCAAATATACGAAATAATCTATTTAAGATTAAAGTTTCCTAGCAGCTATTTCTAAATAATATTCAAATAACCTGAATAAGAAGGCTTTAAAAATTTATCTGAAGCAATAAGATCAGTAAAATAGCAGAGTGTGGTTGACATGAGGAAGGGTAAAGCACTATCATTTGAGAAAGTAATTTCGAAATTGAAGTTTTTCGAAGCTAAATGCTTCAAATTTTACCAATTTGCGTACATTTTCCGGAAATTATAAGGCAGCAGTTGACCTCGTCGCTAAATTTTGATTCAAAAATGGCGCTTAACGTTCAGCAATCATCGAGAAAATTACTATCATGAGATTAGAAGATTGTTTTAAACTTTAGGAAATATTTGCAGCTTTAGGACCTATTTTTAACATCGGGTGAAAGGATCACGAGATTTGGTTCAATGCGATTATTCCGATATTTCAGTTAGTTAATTTTAGAAATAATTTCGATGACTGCTACATCATAACAATATTGAAAATCTTAAAAGATGTGAAAAAATGTCGTCAACAAAACGTGTAAATTTAACAAATCTTAAAAGGAATGTGAGAGAGGACCTTTATTTCTATTCTGTTTCTAACAACCGTAAAGTAATTATACCATTGTGTAATGATGGTTACAACAATGATTTTCACCTAAACATAGATATGCAAAAAAATTTGGAATAATTTCTGATCGTTTGGAGCTGTTATTCGACCACACAAATCGTGACCTGTGACCTATCGCATCCGTTCTGATAGTGCTTGGAACTCTCCCATCACGTCTTCTTTCGACACAACAAAAAAATTCACATAAATATATGTTTGTAAAAAATATATTGCATCTTTCGTCTATAAATATGTATTCACTTTTTCACTGAAAACAAATTAATTAATGAGCTTATACTCTCTCATCCATTAAGCGTTTTTTTCGTGTTAGATCAGGATTTCATAAAATTTTTCCAATTATTTTTGCAGTTGAAAATAGAATGAGATGCTAAGCATTGATTTTTAAGCCTTAATAATCTTAAACTGTTTGATATGTTCGAAATCTATCCTTTAATTGTAAGATGAAGTAAAGGTTAAGAATTTCAAACAGATCACAGGTAAAAATCATTTTCTGAGTTCATTAATTCCCAAAGAAATGCTTTACTGTGTAAATACTCACTGATTATCAGGCTTGCAAAAGTACACCTACATTGATCCAGTCACTGATTACCAATTTAGAATTTTTTTGTTTATTACAGATCACAAAACACATGATAGAAGACTAGAGAAACCATGTAATCCTTGTATAATAATCAAAAGCGAAAATTATTCATTAATCAAACGGTAGTCGATGACATTATAAAGTACTGCATGACAGGTGACACTGCTGTGAAATTCATAAATCATTCAATAAATTTTGATGGTAATTGCTAAAATCCTGCTTCATTTCCTAATAATTTAGAAAAAACCCCATTAAATTGAAGAGATTATTTGTGCTAATAGAAAGAAAATTACAATATTCATCATTTATTTCAGTTTATCACGATTGTTGTCATTTCTTTGCCGGTTTGATGACATTGAAGCAGTCGTTATGAATAAGCCATTTTCCGTTTACTTTCTTCCAAATTTGCAGGTATGCACCCGATTCTGGCCCACGTGTACCATTTAGATGGTAACTGCCACGTTCAAAAGCCCAGTCACCAGCACCATTTACTTCTTCTGTTATTATCTGGAGATGGTAGGAAATATAGTGATACTGGAAAATCACGGGTTTAGAAAACATTATTCTGAAATCCTGCCGTTTTAAAATTCGGTCAACTTTTTAAGAATTTGTTTTCCACATATGTCTTCCACATTTTTTTGCGGATCGATCAAAATTACTTTCTCCCTTATATTGTCACATTCAAAAAATTTCTGAATTTCTAAATGCCTGAAATAGGATATAATTAATTCCAGGTTGGAAAACTCATGGATCTATTCAAATCACAAATTAAAAAAAGAATATCACCTGACAACTTTTAACACCTTCCGACATATCCTGCTTATAATACAACTCAATTCCTGAAATGTAGACAGAATGTTATTAAAATAAAACTTCGTCACATGTTTTTTCTCAGGAATTCCGCGGATACAGGTAATCTTTATCAGAGATGTTCGAATGCCATCCAACACAAATCCTTTAGTCTGATTTCCGGTTCTTTTATGAAAGTAAAATGAACTACTCACAGCCAAAAATTAAATTTTTGGTTAACAATTCACTTCATTATTTATTTTATTGATGCAAAATTTTCCGAGTTAGTCGGAATTCCTTCTCAAATATTTCACTTCCAAATATTTGAGACTTAACTCTTCCGGACTGGTCAAAAGAAAGTACCTGTTCGTCCTTTAACTGGATCAATGCCATTAGGCATGAAGTAACCTTCCGGATCGTACAATGCTGCAGCACCAGCTGCATCGCCTGAATTGAATGCTTTCATGAATTCTGCCTGGCGTGACTTGATTTCTTGAAATAGAACTGAAATTTAAGTAAGTTTTTTAATTATCTGACAATTTGAAAAAATAAGGTTCTTCATATGATTTATAATAATGTCAGACCTGTCCGAACATTTGCCATGGTTTCAGTCTCAAGTCGTATGCTATTCTAAAAAGTGAGTTTATGATTAAAAAGTTTATGAGTTCATGATTTTTATTTTATTTATTTGATAATGTTGAAAGACACGAAAGATATTCGCACTATAGTCAAAGGATCGTATTATCGGATTGTAGGAAATGTTGCAATTCATTTCTATTGATCAATTAATTCGATTTCTCATTTTAGCTATCCACTAAATTAGTTTGGACTAAAATTTGATTCAAAGGATAGTCTTGGTATGAAATATTAATTAGTAAAAGAAGGCTTATTAAATACTGCTTATTAATCCAATTGAAAATTTAGGTATTTGAAAATGTGCCAGGGAAGGATCAGAGAAAGGAAGTAATATGATAGCTAACGGATATCTATTTTAAACAGAAACTAATGCTTCATCATTGTTTCTGACCTGGCACCTAAAAAATAGATATAATAACGTGTGATAATCACAGAAGCAAGCAGAAAATTCTATTACCCGGGTTCAGGTTATTGAGAATGATGGAACTGAGCGGTATGTCATGGAAGAAGTTCATTGTAATAAAAGGAGAACTAGTCAAAATTATATTACCACATACCACTCATATCGATGATGCTAACGATGATAGGAATGCTTCAGGAATTCTCGAGAAGAAAGCGAGCGAAATGGATGATAACTAAGGAAGCAAAACTAGAAGTTTATTTGAAGTGGTTTGCTTTTGACAGCTTTTCCCCACCTCTTCAACGACAACTACTCATATATTCACTATGGGATAATGAGTCGGATAAAATTGAGCTCTACAGCACAGAAAATGGGGCGGAAGTTGAGCATATCTATCGGCAACAGTAGGTATAACTCATTCTTCGAAGCTTTCAGTAGCTTATCTTGGCTCGGTTCGTTTATTTACGTGGTAAATCTTAGAAAAATAATTATACTTGGTGGTACATCTAAGCAAAAAATTGTTCACTTGTTTACATGCTTGCTCAAAATTCATTATCTCATGATTTGGGCCCCATCAACAACTATGGTGACATATCACTTTGCACAATCTCGTATTCTTGTGCTATCCTCGCCCATAAATGAGGGCTACTTAATCTTTCAATAAATTTTCTCTGCTTTGTTTTCCTAACTTATCAGCAGTCTGTAGCACGTTTAGCTCTACTTTATAACAAAAATTGAGAATTTTATGCAGCAAAATGTTTGGGACTTCAGCTCTAATAATCACTCTTAAACAAGCCTACAAAAGCAGCAATCGATTCTTATGGCTAAATGCTTCTTTGAAAGAAATTTCCAAAAAAAAAAATGAATATTCACTCTGAATCTAAAAGTTGATAAATCTCATAGAATTCATTACAAATACATTGACTTTTTCATGAATATCATTTATTGCAATAATATCTTAATATTAATACAAAAACAAAAACATCTCGATCCAAAGACGCGGAAAAAGTGTCGGATTCGAATATCACCATCTGACACACAGCATACATTAAAAGTTCGTTAAACATAAGAGACATAAAAGGTTCGTTAAATGAAATGAATTAGAAGGAGAAATGCATGCTTTCTCCGGTAGTCATTCTCGGAAGTGTTCAAAATAAGTTGCAAGATATTTTATTTGCTGTTTATAAATAAAAAACAAAAATACGTTATATGTTTAGGAATAAACACTGACATAGCACAGTGACTAACAAACAGTTTACACATTTAATTCCGCTGTTAGTGAAAGAAAAAAAAAAACAACGGATATAATGTCGCTACAAACAAGTGGGAGGACTTCCAAAGGAAGGGTCAAAGGAAGATTCGTATCACAAAATTCTCTTCGGATACAACATTATTAAACTATACTTTTGAATAAAAAAACTAATATCCAATTCATTATCAAAAATGCATTGATTCTAAATTCAAAAAAATCAAAATTAACTGAATTGAAAATTAACTATGCTGTCGTATTTTTACAGCTGGTTTATTATGTATGCTAAATAAACGAAAAGTTAGTTCGATGATTAAAACGACCAAAAATAACCAAAGCGGCACTGAGAGCCAGAACACCTGGACCATACCAAATTTTAATCGAATGTACAGTAGCACTTCGAAAGTAATTTTGAAGACCAACAATGCTAAAAAATGTATATTTTGTGATTTTGGATATCATTTTTTTTCTCTATATGTTTCAAAAATCTTGATAGCTGATCTTGATAATCTTCATATTAAAAATCTTGACAGCTACAGAGAACGAAAAACAAGCCATCATCTCGAAGCTATAACGCCAAACTTGCTTTCAATAAATATCTGCTGTTTTACAAAATGAAACAATTACACAATGACAAACAGCATGATGACTTATCGCAAAAACCAAAGTTAAAAATTAAATTAAATTACCAAAGACAACAGCAGAAGTTCGCTTTTCTAAGGAATAAACGTATGCTGTCATCGAGTATGGTGTATTCATATCGTATTGCCTTCCTCCCACTCCACAAATCTGGTAATGGCGTATTATTTTGATCACTGCACTGGACAGAAAAAGGATGTCAAAAAATCCTAAAATTAGAAAAAATATCGATGGCTCGCCATCCAAACCACCATCCTGAAAAATTCGGATCTAATTTTAAACAGAATTTTTGAACAAACCGTTTAAAATTATTCCAAGTGCAGTGAAATCATGAATTAGAAACAAAAACTAACCAGATAAACAACTAGAAAGACAAGGGCGAGCAATAGCAATAACCAAACAAACAGCGCTTTGTGTCCCGTAGTCATATAATCCGTCGAAGACCACAGATTCATAAAAACGAACTTATAATCGAATACAACGCATTAAAATCTGAAAAATGGAAGGTAAGCCCAGGGATCCTAATAAGATAAAATTTTGTTATATATTCCTAACAAAACGGCATGAATAATAAAATGATAATCGTTGGCCAAAGATGATTTTTTTGAAGACAGCACTATGATTTACCGATTTAAGAAAATTCGTAAAAACCTTTTTTCTGCACTCAGATCTAAATATTTAAACATGAATATGCACCAGTTTAATAAGGTCCTTCAAAAAAATGGTAAGGTGTAAATTTCTTTAATTGACTGCATCGAACTGATTGCGTTACAACAAAAGGAAGCTGCAAGGAAAATGGTACTTCGCTGAAATTCAGTGGTAATACCTAAAAACCTGAACTCTGAATGACCTTTAACTTATGTTGTGCTCTTGAAGTTGATAAGTCTAGCTATAATAACTCCAGAACATACTATCAAATTCGGAGAAAGTCTTTGCCAGCATGACGCAATCCACAGTATTTTGTGATGGTACAACATTGAGACTGTATTAAGCAAGTTGTTGTGAAAAAAAAAAGAAAACCTTAAAATTAGTAAGAATATAGAACCAAAATGTACTTTTTGTAGTCGGGGAGAGTGTAGCGGTTCTTAAAATGAACTAATGTCTGTAATTGATTTAAGAATGAAACGAAATTTAAACATAACGAACAGAACGCTGACACCCTTGTACAGCTAAATTGCATAGAATGAATTATTTGCAAATAATGGACCTAGATCAGCATAATAAAAAGTAACATAATAGAGCAGCTCTGCTCTTACACTAAGTAAGTCATTCATCATTCATTCCTTGTACAAGGAGCATTTACAAATCATCCAGCACAGGTCAATTCGAATGAACAAGTTGAAGATACGAGAAATAACAGATACAAACGAACGATCCATGCAAAAAAAAACTTTCACATATGTAACTTTTGAAATTACTATTTCACACGTACCTTAAGACTTGATGATCGCTCAGATCGGTCATATAATATCCAGAACAGAATTGCTTTCGCCTTCCACATAATATTCTAATACCATTTTTGTTAATCAACCTTAAAACATCTCGCAAACTCTCTATCTCTTGTCACATGGACGGTAAACCATTCCTCAGTAACAGCGGTATATGTGAAAAAATGGAACAGTAGGTAAGGAATGGAGAAAAAGTTAAAGAACAATATTACTTGTTCTTTGAATTCTTTCTACTTCACAGTAATTTGAATTATGAAAAGATGGCATGATGAAAAATGCTGAATTAAATTTGAACATGAAAATGGTTCTTTAGGCATCCAAGCAGTGCATTCAGAAACTGGAAGGTAAAAAAATGTTTGAAAAGAAAAAACATATATGCACGAACATATATGGATATGCATACACTTTAAGCCAAAAAACGATCAAGCTGATACTATGGGATAAGAAGTTAAGTACTACTTTTTAATGTTATGAATTTGCGAACTTTTCACGTCAAGTGAAAGTGAAAGTAACTGAATAATTCCCATGCGCTCAATATTTAGCATATACTAAAAATAACTTGCGTAGAGGAATTAAAGGAATATATATATATATATATATATATATATATATGTAT